AAACAGGTGGCAACCTTAATCATACATATTTTCGGCTGTAAGCCTTCTTAAAACTCTTTAATTTTATACCCACATTGCAATATTTCATTTACTTAATCAACTTAACTGAGTTAAAATTTTAAATTAGGTGGCAATCCTCCCCAAAAATATTTCGATCAGTCATCTTTCTTAAACCTCTTTAATTTGATACCCATACTGTAATAATTCATTTATTTTATCAATATAATTGGGTTTAAAAATTTTCAAATATGTGGCAACCCTCAAATTTTTTGCGATATCATTGGTTCTGTATAAAACAAAAAAAAATATTCAAATCGGTTCAGCCGTTCTCGAGTTTTGACGACCGTGACATACGAACACAACATTTTTATATATATAGATATAGAAGATATACATACATAGAAGATGTCCAATGTGTGCTTTCGATTTTAATCTTTGACCACAACAAAAATTCCGTATTGTACATTCGTGAATGAACTTTCAGTTTCTCGATTACTTTTACAATTCCTTTGAGGAATTGAAAAACTAAAGTACTCTTGCAATTCCAGGTAATGGAATTGAAAAAAAAATCAATTACATTTTCAATTCCTTTCAAAGGAATTGAAAAAAAAAATTACATTACTAGCACGTAATTGATTTCAATTACAATATGAAATTCCTTGTAATGGAATTAAAGAAAAAACCAATTACATTTGAAATTACTTCAGGGAATTGAAAAAGTAATCGATTCCTTTGCTGTGAACTGAAGGAATTGATTCCTAATTACAATTCCTTGTAATCTGTAATTGGGAGTAATTTAATTCCTAAAGGAATCATTACGACCCAGCTCTGTCTTTTACTAAAAAGTTCTCTTGCCTACGTGAAGCTACATATTATAAATAGTAAAAGAATACTAAAAGCTCGTGCCACGGACCGTTTCCATTCTAGTAATGTATTTTAAGCTACACCTTAACTTTTTTTGAAAAGTCAGTTAAGCAACTCGGGACCTCATGGCATGCGGCATGTGGTGCGCTTATAGTTATGATACGGCGTGTATATATGTATGTAAGTAAATATCAACTATGTATCCGCAATAATTTTTTGCTGGTGTTTATGATACATTACCTTTTTATATTTTTTAGTCGTAAGCTTACGAAAGTAATTAAATAAGATATTTGCTATGTAAACAAACATGTATGTTTCTATGAGTATTAAGGTGATCCAGATAATGAAAAAGGGTGGTTGGCAAAATAAAAATTAGTAATTACCTAAACCGATTTGAAAATTTACCTGGAAAGGATTTTGGTGACATAAAAACTTGCGTTTTGAAATGCCATGAAAACAGCTAAAATCGACTACTGTTGGTTTTTTTTTGAAGTGTATATAAACAACTTCACTCTCGAGATGGGTAATATTTAACCCTGCTGGAAATTTGTAACAGCTTCTTGCGCAACCCAACAGAAAATCTGTAATTCCTATTTCAGGATCATTTGGGGACTAGTTCTGAATCATTTCGCGATTTGTTCCGGTCTATTTCGGGACCGTTTCGCAACCTATTCAGGACCATTTTTTGAGTAGTTCGCGACTAGATGAGGACCATTTTGGAACTGATAAGCGAACCTTTCGGGAATATTTCAAGACAAATTCACGTCTTTTTCGACCGTTTCGGGCCTGTTCAGGACTGTTTCAAGACCTTTTGGGGACTAGTTCGGGACCTGATAAGGACTATTTCGGAGCTATTTCAGGACCAACTTGGGACTAGTTTACGACTAACTATTTCAGTACGATTTCGGGACTAGTTCGGGTTAATTTCGGGCCTGGCTTTGGATTATTTCGGGATAGTTCATGACTATTTCAGGAAGATTTGGAACAGTTCTTTCACTTTTTCAGTAACCCTTCAGGACAATTTGGACTATATCGGGGTAGTTCGAAAATAGTCGCGAAGTGATTTTGAAATAGTCCTTAACTATTCCCGAAGTGGTTATGACAAAGCCGTGAATTGAATGGTATAAAGAAAGGCCTTTCGGTTTTCAACGACTACCGCTAAGTTAATTAGAACTTTAGTGATGGATTTATAGACCTTCAGGATTAACTTCCGTTCTGCTCTCGGTTAGAGTTGGGCTATTTTATCGATCGCTGTCTTGTGCCGCTCCAGGAATCCTTTATCGTTACAGGCAATAAGATGTGCGCTCCCCTGTAACTCGCCAGAGGCTACACGTGATTGGGTTGAAACTGGGTTATTCCGTTATTTGCACTGCGACTTTTACCAAAGGGTCCTGAACCCACCACTTCAGTGTTTTCATTTATATAGCATTCTCCATCAATCGTTTCCGCTTAGCAACCTTTTTTATACGATCCGATGTAGAAATCTAAGATTGTTTCACTTTCACGAAGTGGCCAGACGACGGAGAAGTTGTACTTCGGTATCGGTGGGTGGCTTTATAATGGTCCGCTGGTTATTTGGTTGACTCTGCGATTCTGTGCAATAAGCTCATCCGGGTGTGATGGATTTTTGGAGTGAAAGTTTCCCGGCAGCCCTTGGTCTTTTCCTATCAGGAGTACTTTGGTATTAATGCAGGTGGGAACGCAAGTCACAGTAAATAGTCTTTTTGCTACTGCATGAGGGCTCCGTGGACAAAAATTGCACAGGGAGATGGGTGTTTTAGTGAGTGGTTGCCGTTCGAATCGACAGTTTTACCAACGGGAGGTTCTTTGTACTAGGATCGATTTAGATGTCGCGTGAGTTCAAATGGATCATAGAACTATCTTTGTAATATATTTAGACCAAAAGGAAAACATTAAGTAGTTATGCTTATCGAATTACTAAAAAAAATTTTACCTACATATATTGTGGTACATCCTAATGTAATTACATATATACCTGTTTCCATCTGTATATGCGATCAAGTTACATGGGAAATGGCATCCGTCAGCGGCCGGTTTTGTGAAGTGAAAAAAAAAACATTTTTAAAATACGTACATACATATGTACGTACATATATGTATATATGTATATATACTTACATCATTACGTATATATATTTAATTATACTGATTTAATTATAATGTACTTTTTACAACTACATACATATGTTTATTTATTTTGCAATTAGTGGAAGGATAAAGCCGACATGTCTGGTGAGAAAGTTATAGCCGGCATGCGTGGCTATGCGTGACTTCATGGAAAAATTTTGCCTTACATTAAATTAGAAAAAGTATATTTATCGTTGTAAAGAGCTCTAAAATAATAAGACAAGAATAATCTGTACTAAGAAGTAGTGCGGGAAGGCGGACGTGAATTGGCGAAAAAGGGTGCAATGTTTTTCGACGTCAAACGCACTCACAGAGAATGCTTCCGAGCTGATACATTTTTTCTTAACGGACTGCAACGAGCCCATCACTATATTCAAACCACTTCTGGACGAAATACTTGTTAAAAGCCCAAACTACTTACAATAGCCCAGTGGCAGTGACAGTTTTTAAAATCAGCTGTTACTGCTAAAATGGGCAGCTAGCCATTTACATATGCATTGTGTGTCGCTTCATTGGACAGCACACTTTCTAAAAAACAGCTGCTTTCGCAAAACTGCCACTGCGCTATTGTATTTTGGGCTAAAGTCTCACACTGACAACAAGAAAAACTAAACTTGTTTTTGAACTAAGAAAACCAATTCTTATTATCAAGAAGATCTAAGAAAATATAATTCGAAAATAAACAAGATAGTCGGTTTCACGAGCAATTTAAATGGAAAATTATTTATTTATTTTTTCTGTAATTTTTCATATAAGATTCAAAAATTAAAATTATTTAATGGCTTTCGTGAAATTTGCTGTAAAATAAATAAGAAAACGTTTGTTCAAATCATGGAAATTTTTTCTTCAAAATCATTTAATAAATTAATTCATCCTCCGTGAAAGGAATGAGTTGTAATTTTGCTCGCGGCGCTAAAACAGGAGCAATGGTTAATTTATTAGTTTTTTACAACGATTTTTTATTGTAATTTTTAAATTGTATTTTAAAAAGAAAAAAAATACCTAATTTATTTTTTATGGTATTTGAATCCAACTTTCAGTAAAAACCTTTTCTCCGTGCATGTAAATTTAATGCAGAATTCTTTAGTGGAAGATGCTAAACAAGCAAAAAAATAAGCTAAATCAAAATTTTAGTTATGGCTAAGAAAAATTACTCAACAAATCGAATATTTTTGGCCGTTATTTTGACTTCATAACAGTGCCAATGTTTAAGATAAAAATGACGCAGTCTTGAAAGGGACAACTTATTTCGTTCATTTATAAATTCTCTAAATCCTCTTTTTAAAATATGTTTGATTTTTAGAATCACATGAAAAATAGTAGAGCTGTTAATAGATAAGAGCATGAAGTACGGAAATAACGGCTAAAAAAATTGACGGTTTAGGAACTGTCAGAAATCTAGTTTCATGTTGTACTAGGCCCTTCCTAAATCCCCTACTGAGTGTGAATACTTCTAATATTGAAATATTATAGACAAAATATTTTGTGCTTACGGGATATCTGTAACAGACAATTTTCCAACAGGGCTACTCAAGATACGAGTCGTTCTCCGTGAAAACGTTTATACATACATACCTATTTTTTAATAAAAGTTCAATTATATATAGTTAGCAATAAAAATTCTAATTGCCTCAGTATAAAGATCAATCACTGGCTCATCATTATTATCAAAGTGAAACAATTTATAACTACATGCATATAAATACTAGATAACAATAATTTGCGTAGTAAACTCTACAATATTTCAAAGATTTCATCGTAGGGTGTGGTGTTGAATATTTTCGTTGCACCCTCTTTCATCTGCTTGCCAATTGCATCATACCAAGGTCTCTTCATTTCATTATAAATTTCTTTCCAATTTTCATTTAGAAAGCTGTTTAGATTTTCCCCCAACGCCTTATCGCCATTGAAAAGATTTTCGAAATGCATTGCCAATCGTTTCGGCTTACATTCTACGTGTAAATCTTTTATATTCAAATAAGTTTTACCATCTTCGATGCGCGCGGTGGCATCTATGATCATTTTCATTAGTGGTTCAACTGAAAAATTGGTAGAAACAAATAGAAAGAAAAGTCATACACCCATGAGCAATAAATTTTGTAAGTGAACTTACCCAACGTGATATTACTCTTGCCTTGACCTTTTATGGGCAAAATCAGCACTTTGCCATCAATTTCATAATCGGATATCATTGAGATGTAGGGCGCGTGCAAAAGCAATTCATGGCGACCATCTGGGGTTTTGCCAAATCCCCTGCAGCATAAAAAATACATATGTAAGTAGGTATGCACATACAAACTTCATACTCACTTAACCTTCCTCGCTCTTATGTTTTTAGTGCCATATACTACGGGATTCTTTAATGCTAAATAAATTGCCACCGGATTCGCCGGATCCTGTTTAATAATTATGTCTTCCATTTTGAATGGTTCCGTTTGGCTCAGACCGAAACTTTCGTCTCCTTGATTTTTTTCGCCGAACACAGTATTTATATTTTTTATAATGCACTTGCTATCACCGGCTACGCATCGCTTAAGATCGCTAGCTGTAAGAAATGTGTAAGGGAATTAGTTTTGTGTTAGAATCAGCTTTAATACGGGATTTGAAAAATGCTTGTTTTCCGTCAGGCTTGAAGCCGAAGGGAGCCATGTGCGACTGTGGAAGACTCTTTGGTCGGACTAGGATTGTGAACCCATAGGTCAATAGAGTAGCTATGTATATCGGATAATTGGCCGTTCGATTATCTGGTGTCCAAAAACTAAACGAAAAACTCTAAAATAACGTTTTCGTATAGTGCAAAGGTTTGCTTTGAGAACTTGTTTAACCAAGGTCCTAAAGTCGATTTTCGAATGGATTTCACTCCACAATCTTGTTCAAACAGCAGCAACCTGGAGAGAGGGCTTGCAAATGCAAAAACCTGCCGGTAGTCTTCATAATAACAACTAACATACAGGTTTTTGGTTAAAATGCTAGGATAGGAATGACACGGGTTTTCTGACTCTATGCTAAAAAAAAATCTGTCCTTGCAGGAAATTCCAGGTTCAAATTTTAGACTGAACGTGCTGGTCAAACGCATTTCCTCACTTTGATCCCAAATTTGTACATAAATACAAAGATTGGCCAAGGATAGAGGACAGAATAGGTGCCGACTTTACGAACCCGGCATTAGAATTTCTAATGCAAATGGCAGATGACCAACAAATTTTTTAAATCGAGGTATCAGAAGTAAGCTTGGAAGTGTTTCAAAATCACCTTTATAGCTTCAACACTTAGCAGCGCGAAAACGTAGCAATAAAGTTTTGCGTAGCAGACCACTGCGTGATCGATGTCACTGACGATCTAATGAAGGAGGACTCAACCTTGTTGGGCCAGAAACATTTTGCAGACTCAGTTGGTTTTCTTTGAGACTTCTTCGAGCAACTGAAAGGGTAAACTCACAGCGCTGTAAGTACTGGGGAGCAGTAGGCTCTTTTATACAGGGTCACACTATTTGGATATCCTTTTGGCAGACAGAATGTACATATGCACATATATAGATCTTTTGAATAGATCCAATATCTGGTTGCCAACTGAGTATCTAACATGACTTAACAGTTATCTATCAAGCATGTCTTAAAGGAAAAAGTTGAAAGGCAGTAGGAAAGGTAGTTTGACAAAAAAAAAGCTTCCTTGCCAACTTTCATGGTTTAAAGCTCTTTGGACAGAAAGCACTAGAGCTTGTTCTAAATAAAGATATATGTGACCTGGTCTACGAAAAGGGAGCTTACGTGCGAAAACTAGTTTTCTGTGAAAAAGCTGTTAAAAGTAAGCAACTCGTTTCGTTTACTCGTTTTTACTCTTCTTTCTCTACATTTTTAGTACACTTCTAAGCAAGTTAGGATTTTCTGCTTTTCACCACGTGAAAAAGCATCTCATCTTCCATCCGAATCAACCAAAAAGTGAAAATTGATTTTTTGACACCTAAGCCCCCTTTCCGTAGACCAGGTCACATATGTTTATCATTTTACTCACGCTGCTAAAACATTCGCAATGGTTGCGATTTTTTTTTAAATTTTTTTAAAACATATTTATGTATTTAATTTTCTTTTAACTTTTATAATTTATTGCTTTAATAAAAAGAAAAAATATATATTTTTAATTTCACTTAATTTCTAGAAACATATTTTGTTTTAATTTATTTTTTTATTTAATATTCTTTTCATTTTGAGATTCCATTTCTTTAAAAGGAAGAATACTTTTCAATTACATTTAAATTTTAAAACATTTTTATTTATTTTTTTAAATTTAATTTGTTTTTTCGTTTATTTTATTATTTATTTTTCTCTTAGCTTTTTCTTTACTTTTAAAATTTTGTTAAAAAAAATACTTTTTTAATTTTATTTATTTTATAGTCTCTTCAATTTTTAAAAATAAATATATATTTTTTTTAATTGCATTTTCCTCTTTAAAATGCGCATTTTAATTTCATTTAATTTTTAAAAACTTACTTTAGTTTTACATATTGTTAAAAGACAAACCGAATAAATCCAGCTCTGGTGGACTTTGTTCGTATTCTCGCAAATCAGAGAATGCTTAATTCCTAGATGAGGATGGGTCTCATATCGTAAGACACATACGCGACAAGGCGTACACCCCTGATTCTAAAGTAATTTTACAAGGCAATTTCAACACAATGTTTTTTTCGAATTTTTGGTGACACCTGCATTCGACAATAAAATAACATTTTTAGACTACTGATGATTTTTCAGAACTTTAATTTACTAGTATGTTAAGATGGTAGGAGATTTGGTGGGTACGCACTACAGCGGGGTACTTGAGATCAATGAACTGTGGTACACAAATATTTTCAACTCGGGACAACAACATCGATATATCATACTCTAAGATCCCACTGTAAATGCCGAAGATATGACGAAGGAAGTATGGCCAAAATGAAATTATTTTTCCGAAGGAAGCATGGCGTATTTTGATTATCTGTTACAGCCTAGTGAACACCCTTCTTATGCGCTTATGGGCAGGGAAAAGGCCTTCAGCATCTACATTTGAAACTCTTCTAATAGCCTACCTCTTCTTGGATTACTGGAATGTTCTGAAACTTCATCGATAGAGAGGATGGATTTGTAGATAAATCTGGTAAAATTTCGACAAGAAAAGTTTCGGCTCACACATTCGTCTAGAATGGAATTATAACTGACCACTGGTCAATGAGAAGGCAATATAGTAGAATATGTAGACCTGCCGGCCAATCAATTCTGCCGTATGTCGGCATCCGTGATCAAATAATTACTGGTTTCGAATGGAACGAAATTAAATGACAGCTATTTTCTATCCAATCCAATTAAAATGCTGGCCTGTTATCGAGCACTGTAAAAATGAATTCTCAATTTAAATTTCATTCATTCACGGGTGGTGTGGTTCGGCTCCAGGTTTTGAATCAATTAAAGTATCAATTTTGATTGATAATTTACATACCTTACACAAAGTATGTAATTGCATGGATAAATTCTCATTAGCGTTAAATTGATTGTTTTTTACACATTCTTCAATTGCTTTTTACTAGGGTGACAAACTTATGGCGTTTTCTTTTCTCCAAAAGATATTGCCTTCTCAATGCCCTTTTCTTAGTATTTGTGCCTAGAGGACATTGAAAAGGCAATACTATTCGGTTGAAAAGAAAACGCAATTAGTCTATCTTCTAAATTAACAAAATATGGTTGGCGGTTTGGTATACTATTTACCAGAGTTGTGAAAAATGCATTAATTTTTTAATGCATAGCATTTTAATGTTAATGTAAAAAAATAATGCATTATGTTTAGGAGTTTAATGCTAATAAAAAATTTTGATGCATTAATTTTGAAAATGTAATGCTTAATAAAATTTTAATGCATTTATTCTGGGAAAAATAATGCTAGTGATTTTTTTTTTGCAGTAACATTAATGTTTGCAAAATAATGTTAATGCAATAATTTATATTTATATATATTAGTATTTAATTTGTATGTATGTATTGTAAGTATGTGGTCCAGTGTAATTATATGCGATTAAACAACCACTACTCACATTGAAGACCTCACCATGTATCTACGTAAAAGAGACATTGGGACGTATGCATAAAAACTAAGCAATTGCTTTTTCTTAAAATAGCATACCTTTCACTTAAATTTATTTGAACAAATCGAGTAAAGAGTCTAAAATTTTAAGAAAAAGCATTCGCATAGTTTTTTTGCATACGACCAATTATCAATTAAACTGCTTTGAATTTAAGTGATATCAGTATGTTATTAATTGTGTGGTTCCTTTCTAACACGCAACAAATTACAATATTTATCGTATTAGCTATATAAAATATCCCGAGAACAAACTTAATGGTTTCTATTAATGCAAACGGGTAAAACGATTATTTATTTTAATGCTTTCGAATTTTCCATTAGCATTAGTTTTGGATAATTTAATAAAAAAAAATTGCATTTACATTATTCTTCAAGAATTAATGCATTAAAATGTTATTAATCATTAAATTTTCAAAATGCATTAATTTTTACATTAACATAGTTGCCTTAATTTAACATTAATGCATTAAAAACTTAATGCATTTTTCACAACTCTACTATTTACTTACTTACAGTCATCAACAAAATAACAATTTTTCTTCTATTTTTAATTTTCAACATTTCTTTTATAAAGATATACTAGCTTATTATACGAGTATGCTTATAAAATACCATATAATTCCGCATTTGAAACTTTATACAGAGAAAGATTTTGTCAAAATTTTTAAACGTTTCGAGCAATGTGACTATATTATTCAATGTTCGGTTCCGCCCGAACTTTTTACTTGTTATATATCGTCGCTCCCAACGAAGAGTAGCACATCTCAAATTACCGTGGAAGACTAGCACATTTCACTATTCGCGTCGAAGACTAGCACATTTCATTATTCGCGTCGAAAAGTAGCACATTTCAGATTTTCGCGTGGAAGACTAGCACATTTCACTATTCGCGTGGAAGAGTAGCACATTTCAGAATTTTGCGTGGAAGAGTAGCACATTTCAGATTTTTGCGTGGAAGAGTAGCACATTTCACTATTTGCGTGGAAGACTAGC